TACTATCAACTACAACAATGATAAGGGAAAATAACAAGGGAAGAGAATACGATACCACCGGCCAAGAAAACGAGTTCCACCCGGAAGCCCATGTCCTTCCGGGTAACTCCCAGTCACCCCCCACCCCGGCCATGACGTGCTGTGGTATGGAATACCTCCTTGGCTAGCCCAGGTCAGGCGCTCCATCTCTGCTTCCTCCCGGCTTCCCCTCCTCCCTGGCAGAGCATGAGCCTCACAAAGTCCTTGGTCAGGGTAAACATCACTTAGCAACAACTGAAAACATCGGCTTCACCAACACTGTTCTCAGGCTGGAAGTCAAAACACAGCACTGCACCAGCTACCACAAAAGAAAAAAAAAACATGACTGCTACTGCTGAACCTAGGACATACACTTATTACTATAGTCAGTGCAATCTTACTAGTTTTGTGTGCAAATTTAAACAGACTAGGACACCAAATTGCAAAGAACATTTGGGACTACTGGCTCATGGAAAATTCAGTGGTTGTTTTACGCATTTGAGTTGTTATTCCCCAATCACATCGCTAGACAGCGACGTTGACATTATTGAAACTCCTTGCAAAAAGCACACTTTCATGCCTCTTAATCGTAGAATCATAGAACAGTTAGGGTTTGGAGAGGACCTTAAGATCATCTAGTTCCAACCTCCCTGCCATGGGCAAGGACACCTCATACTAAACCATGTCACCCAAGGCTTCATCCAACCTGGCCTTGAACACTGCCAGGGGTGGAGCATTCGCAGCCTCCTTGGGAAACCCATTCCAGTGCTTCACCACCCTAACAGGAAAGAATTTCCTCCTTATATGCAACATAAACTTACTCTGTTTACGTTTTAACCCATTGCTCCTTGTCCTATCACTACAGTCCCTAATGAAGAGTCCCTCTCCAGCATCCCTAAAGCCCCCTTTCAGATACTGGAAGGCTGCTGTAATGTCTCCACACAGCCTTCTCTTCTCCAGGCTGAACAGCCCCAACTTTCTCAGCTTGTCTTCATACGGGAGGTGCTCCAGTCCCCTGATCATCCTCGTGGCCCTTCTCTGGACTTGTTCCAACAGTTCCATGTCCTTTTTATGTTGAGGACACCAGCACTGCACATAATACTCCAGGTGAGGTCTCACAAGAGCAGAGTAAAGGGGCAGAATCACCTCCTTCAACCTTCTGGTCACGCTCCTTTTGATGCAGCCCAGGATATGGTTGGCTTTCTGGGCTGCAAGTGCACACTGAAGCCGACTCAAGTTCATTTTCTCATCAACCAACACCCCCAAGTCCTTCTCCACAGGGCTGCTCTGAATCTCTTCTCTGCCCAACCTGTAGCTGTGCCTGGGATTGCTCCCACCCAGGTGTAGGACCTTGCACTTGGCATGCTTAAGCTTCATAAGGTTGGCATCAGCCCACCACACAAGCATGTCAAGGTCCCTCTGGATGGCATTCCTTCCCTCCAGGGTATCAACTGAACCACACAGCTTGGTGTCATCGGCAAACTTGCTGAGGATGTACTCAATCCCACTGTCCATGTCAGCGACAAAGATGTTGAACAACACTGGTCTCAACACCAATCCCTGAAGGACACCACTCGTTACTGGTCTCCAGCCGGACATTGAGCCATTGACCACAACTGTTTGTGTGCAGCCATCCAGCCAGTTCTTTATCCACCGAGTGGTCCATCCATCAGATTGATGTCTCTCCAATTTAGAGACAAGGATGTCGTGTGGGACAGTGTCGAACGCTTTGCACGAGCCCAGGTAGATGACATCAACTGCTCTACCCCTGTCCATCGGTTCTGTAGCCCCATCATAGAAGGCCACCAAATTGGCCAGGCAGGATTTCCCTTAGTGAAGCCGTGCTGGCTGTCACCAAGCACCTTGTTGTTTTTCATGTGCCTTAGCATGCCTTCCAGGAGAATCTGCTCCAAGATTTTGCCAGGCACAGAGGTAAGACTGACTGGTCTGTAATTCCCCGGGTCATCCATTTTGCCCTTCTTGAAAATGGGGGTTATATTTCCCTTTTTCCAGTCATCGGGAACTTCACCTGACTGCCATGATTTCTCAAATATGATGGCCAGTGGGTTAGCAACTTCATTTGCCAGCTCCTTCAGGACCCGCAGATGGATTTCATCAGGTCCCATGGACTTGTGCACATTCAGGTTTTTGAGATAGTCTAGAACCAGATCCTCTCCTACAGTGGGTGCGAGGTCTTTATTCTCACAGTCCCTGCGTCTACTTCCTAAGACCTGGGTGGTGCAGTCAGAGCCTTTGCCAGTGAAGACCGAGGCAAAGAAGTCATTCAGAACCTCAGTCTTCTCCAAATCCCATGTAGCCGGTTCTCCCGATAGCGTGTAACTGCACAAGGATCAAGAATGCTCCCTAAACTTAAGCAAATATTTATACAGAATAAATGGTTACAAACTTTTCCTGATAAATTTCAAAATGTGTATAGTAACACAAAAGGGCATATATTCGTTTTAAGCATCTATCATTTTGAAGAGAACATCTTGACTTCCGCAGTCTCCATGTACAGGCACTGTACGTGTACTGAACAGCTTAGGCTTATGACCTCAAGCCCAAATGGTTTCCACAGCAACCATGCAGAACAGAGAGCTCCAGACTCCTTCTTTGCTTGTAAAAACAGGGTGGCTTATTAAAACTTGTAAGTGCGAAGTTCCATACACAGATTATTTCAGATGTTACCTTTGAGGGCAGAGAATAACAAAAGACTTGTGAGTGGCGAGATTCCTGTTTCATAGGTTTGTGATAGTTCTGAGTGGGACACAGGTGATGCAAGCATCTCCTGGTGGTTGTTTTGAGCAGGGGGCTTTTTCTCATTCCAGGACATTTTATTTAAAGAGGTGACCTGAAGACCTTGAGAAGTATGTATCTTCCCAAGTTTGCTGTTTTTCTGCTTTGGTGTTAGTGAATCAGTTTTTACCCTGATCTTTATTTCCTGGTAACTGCAGTAAGTATGTTAACTCAGGTTACACTTTTGATAAATTTCAGCAAGTTAATAACATTCTATCTCACCAATAAATGAAATATTTTCCATTTTAAGAGTACCTGTCATTTCTGCCCACTGCATGATTTATATTTCATCTTAAAAAAGGTGCTCTTGCAGCATAAAATTTTTTGATATTTTAAAAGAAAAAAATAATAATGGCCTTCATTAGTTGGCAACACAAAGACCAAAAATCCTTCTCCTTCCTGTTCGTTGGCTGCCACAGGCTTTGTTTACTAGCAGAATTTGTTTTAGGCTGTGATTCTGTGTCTTGTGCGTCTTTTCATTATCTTCCCAGCCTTCTTTATCTCCTTACCTATTACTTATGTATTATATCTTCTCAAACAAGTCACACTTTTTTTCTTCCCTCTGCTCTATCCCCAGAACACAATTCCTACTTGTATTACCCCTGTTCCGACTCAGATGTTCATATCTGTGCAACCTTTTCATCTCCACATCTGGCATTAACTGGTGGTTCCAACTCCTAATTTAACACTTAAGTGAACAATACCACCCTCGAGTAAATGCTGCTTGACTTAGCAGCTCTTTCTTCAACTTGCCACTTCAAGACAAGTACTGGGAGATATCACTGGATCATAACATGGCCCTTCTGACTGAGCTTTTAAATTTCAGAATAAAGAAGCAGCTTGATCCTGAGTGTAATACTAAGACATCTGCGTACCAGAAGTAGTCATTTCTGTAGCATTAACTGTGTATGCAAGGTTCATGGTGGGATGGATGTGTCCTGAGTGAGGCAACACAGAAGGGAGAACTTGATGTAGTAGCAAGTCAGCATGGGGATACGGCTTCTCTTTCTTTCCTTGTCTTTTGATGATAGCAGATTTTTGGAAGTAATTTTAACTGTTTCTAATCCTTAATTGTAAACCCAAAACATGCAGCAGTCTTTTAATATTAAAATTTGTAATGTTACGGGGGGGGGAGGAGGGGAGAATCTGGCACATTGTCTTCCAACTGTTCCAACTGTACTGTACCACTAATGCCCCCTCCATGCTCTTTCTCCCACGTTGTAGTGTGGGATTTTGATCACAGGAATAGAGTACCGTCTGTTTAAACGTTTGGGTTTTTTTTTCTCTTTGAGAGAACTATTTTTATGTGCAAATGAGCAACTCTGTAATGTTTAATCACTTTTCTCAGAAATTGTATTAGCTCCTGTTTTGTTTAAACTTGCTTACAGAGCAAATGGGAATGGTGAGGTCTTCCTTTTTATTTGCCATTTCTCCATGGAAGCCTTTGGACCACATTATAACCAACCCACAAAGAAGTATGATGTCTTAAAGATAGTTACAGGGTTCATAAAAGTCAGTGTCTCTGCTGATGAGACTGGTTATGGGTTCTTTGATAGCAATTCACTGGCACTTTCTGGAGAGTGTGTAACTCCAGCCTAACCACAGCGTTGGTTTCACCTACGTGTAACATGAGGGAAGCTGGGATGATGGTGGGTGTAAGACATGAGTCCTCTTACTCACGTGACTGTTTACTTGATTCTGATTCAAATCCTGAAGAATCACAGCAGTGGCAGGTGTTCCTGGTTGGTCAGTAACACGAGACTTTTAATTAGCTAGCATTTGCTGCTGCTCTGCCTGCAGGAAGGCAGCCTCCCCCCGGGCAAAAGGGAGAACTCCGGTTTATGCAGCATTCAGTCTGTTCCTATAAGCATTATCTCTGCTACACGTTAGCTCTAGAATCTGCAAGAGCTGCCTGAGGTTTCCACTTCAGGAGAAGTTTGAAGGACATTTAAAGGGTAGAATGTGAGGCTGATCAAAACCTTTTTATGTTGCCTAGTTATAATTGCCCTTAAAGCAGATTCTTTTAGTTCTTTTTCCTATCCACTGAAAAAATACTATGTTAACACTTGCTTTCTTATTTTACAAAAAGTTAAAAAAAAAACAGTTTCAACATAGACTCCAGAAGTTTCCTTATTGATTTTTTTTTTCTTTCTCATTTCTTTTTATTTGTTTCTATGAATGTATAGTCACACACTCTGTCCTGTCAGTCTCCCTTTCCCAGCACTCCTACCACAAGGCGTGCCTTGCAAAGGACTTTGTCAGATGAGAGTATTTACAGTGGTCAAAGGGACCACTTCTTCACCTCGCGGGCCTCACTCTTGGACCAAGCCATGCCAAATGATGTACTATTCACCAGCACGTACCCTTCTCTCCCAAAGTCGCTGCCATTGCGGAGGCCATCATATACTTTGGGAATGAAATCACTACATGGTAGGTGTATTTCCCATTTTTCTACTTTCAAAAGAATCCTTTGTGAATCACATTAAAGGAAAATGCTTGTTACAGTAAGTAGTACTTCCATCTTGATTTTGCTACAATAAGGAGAGTCAAGTCACTTGCCTGAAAACATAAAATAGGATGGGAATTCTTTTTTTCCTCACTTCAGTGGGTATAAGACTGCAGGACTGGACATGCAGTTTCCTTGTGGAGAGAGCGAAAAACATTGTCTCATTATCTCCAGGTTTTCATCATTTCTTCCAGGAGTCATCTGGATCAGTTGGACCAATGAGCAAAATAATGTATAGCTGGTTATCCACCAGTGACAGATTCAGGTGGCAGTTTAGTGTGGGATTATGGGAAAAAATAGTGTTAGGAAAATAATGATTCAAAAATGGATAAAATACTAGTGGATATTTGGATGTATGATTACACCAGATACAGCTTTTATTCCACCAGATATTAAATTCACTCCCTTATCCTGTTCACTTTACAGGGCTTGAGTTACTTATTTTAGTCACACATCAACAGCTAACAGGAAAAAGTTACTTGGTAAAATGCTGTCAAGAAGGCACTCGGCTTTCACCCATGAGTATACTGAAAAGTCTCAGTAGGATTATCTGATAGGTTGTGTGCTGCTGCATGTGAATGTCTCACTTGGTGAGAAAGGGAATTTTCACAAGTTCCGACTGTACCTCCTAACTAAATGTGTACTAAATGTGTTTTCCAGAAATAGAGCTAGATCTCGCAGTGTAGGGTTCTGCAGTGTTTTCTGAAGTACATATCTACTCTGATTTATTCATGTTTTAGTATGTTTCAAGAGTTAAACGCAAGGCTATCAATAGATTCAACTCACTATAGTGGGCCCTAACACAGTCTGTATTCACATCCACAGGATACATTTGACAGGGAAGGCTGCTGAAGAAATCTATTTTAAATGCTTTTCATCTGTCTGTGATCACCAGGCATTAGTTTTCAGTGTTGAACCTGACATTTTCATGAGCTGTTGTTTCTGTACAGCATGTTTCTTGCATAAGAGTTAGGAAACTGAACTCTCTTCACTTCTGCTTTTTATATACACTAAAATAACTTTGCAGACTTGTTTACGCTTGTAACTGGCTGGTGGATTTGGCTTCTGAAGGCTTGGGTCAGAAGATTAACGATGACATCTGAGCAGAAGTGGAAAGTAGCATGGAAAGTCTCTTTTCATTTAGATGACTGTAGGTTCCAAAAAGAAAACCACAAACCTTTCTTTCACTGTCACGTTCCCTTCCACACCAAACTGATTACTCGTCCTAGCACATGAGCTTTCTACACTTGTCAACAAAACAAGATTTTCCATTTTCTAGAACATGTAGGGCCTGCTTGATAAAAGGACCAGCTATTTGAGTGACACATAAATTGTCTCTCCCACCACACTTGTCTTTGCTGAGAGAAAGATAAAGTACAGCTGGATATTTAATACCACAAGTATTCATTGGCTTCCAGCTATTCAAAATTCTTTTAATTCACATATATTAGTAACAAAGACCAGCCATTCCAGAACACCGTCAGTTGTTTTGAAGAGGAAAAACAGTGAGCTAAAAGCATTATTCTGATCTATCTCAACTAACAATCCATCTCACACTTTTAAAAGAGGTGATTTTTCAAATGATTACTTTTTTTCCCTTCTAATTCCATCTATATATATTTTTTGTTAAGAACTTCTCAAATAACCACTCTCTTTGGGGGGAGATAATATGAGAATCCCGAGTGCTAATCCTGAGCTGAAGTTATGTTTATAAAAAGTAAACACCTACAGAGCCAAAACAATTATTTTCTCAAGATATTGGAGCAAAGCAGTGAATGCAGTGTCATTGCTTCCCAGGCAGCAATATTATATAGCTTAAGTTATTAGACAGACACCATGCTGTCTGTCTGTTCTCCGTGTTCCAAATGGATTCTTCACTCTTTTCCGCAGCTTCCTCCCTGATGCCCAGTCCATTTGCATACCCCTACATCTCTAGCACTTCTAATACCATCTACAGATTCTTCATAACTTACTTTACACCCTGACGGAAGGCATGAGGAAGCAAGTTGTTGCTGCTTCTGAGCTTACACATGTGCTAACTGACCAGGCATTGCATGTTTTTTTAATTGTTCATTCAGTAAACTGAGATAAAGTAGATAATTGTTGGTTCACAATTTGGTCTTTCCCTAATTACAGCAGTAATTCAGGTCTTTCACTTTGCCTGGCACCAGGTTGCACAAATATGCAGGGACTTTAGATCCTTCCTTCAAGCTTGCCAGTGTTTTTTCTGTAGTGGTCCATGTACCTACGTACGTTGTACGCTGGTATGTGTTGGTGTGGTATTTGTCAGTAAAGATCAAGAGGTTTCACTAAACTGCTGGGAGATGTGCAGTACTTTGGAGGTCATTTTAAGAGTTTTCTTCTGATTCATTTCGGCAGGTCTAAGTCTGCTGCCATTGATTTATGAGATTGTAAAGAGAGGAGGAGAAATAAACACCACAATTTTGTATTTTTACAGGAGCAAATAGGTGCAAGGGAGTATAGAAGCCCCAGCAGAGCCCTCCAAAGTACCCTCAGCTTGTGCAGAGACAAGAGTTGTTAGGTAAAAGAGTATTGTCCGCAGCCCCAGTGCTGGGAAGAGGCAGAGACTGGCTTTTGAAGTGCTAACCTGCAAAGATTCATGCAGGTTAGAAAGGAGTTGAATGTCCGACTGAGAAGCACTGTCACAGAAAACTGGCTTGTAACATGCTGTATCTGGTCAAACTGCAGTTGATCAAACATTCTACTGAATTCTGGTTCCAAAAGTGCTATCCCAGAAAAATTAAAAATTAGGGATGCATTGGTATTAAGAAAGGAATTTTGGAAGGGTTTTTATGGAATTTATAATCTGTTCTGCATTACTCTAGGAGAATTTTCTGCCTCAGATAGTTCCCTCACAGACATTCAGGAGCAAAGACGGCAGCCCATGCCAGACCCTGGTCTTATGCCATTGCCTGATTCTGCCTCTGATCTGGACTGGTCAAACTTGGTAGATGCTGCCAAAGCCTTTGAAGGTAAGTTTTCAGAACATGGTACTGAGAAAGCTGATCTTTGTGCAAACTTCATTAAGGAGTGGTTTTGCTGTTTGTTATTTTAAATCTTGATTCTTTTGTTGGTTTTGTTGTTTGGCATTTTAAATCTTGATTCTTGTTTTTACTGTTTCCACTTAGTCTGAAGATTAAGCCCATTTTAAATAGCAACTCACGTCTTAACAGCCTTAAGCTTTCTTTGTATGTAACACTCCAATGCAGTTTCTTCATACTGGAATTCCTCTGTGCTATGGTTTGACCAAATCTCTGAAACTAGCTACTTGTCATGTAGAGCAGTTGCACACATGACAGCTAGGGTGGAAAAGACATCTGACACAAAACTGCAAAAATAAAGTCAAATAGCAGGAGGAAGGCATATGAGCACACTAATGATTGCTTGCTTACTGTACTAGCATGAAGTGTAGTGTAGCTGAAGAACACTGCCAAGGTAATTTGGGAAATATGCCCCATTGGTATATACTTTTCCATTGCCATTCTTCCCTTTGCATGCTCTGAATGCATAGGCTTGCACGTGTCGTTTGATCCTGTGGCACTTTCAATCTCCTAGTAAACTGAACTGTATGCTGCCTAGGTGTATTTGAATTTAAATACCCTTCAGCCCAAAGGGAGTTTACCTTGCAGTTCCTGTAATCTGATGGAAAAGTCATTTTAGGTGCATTAAACAGAAGTGCCTTTTCCCAGTCTCTGCATAAATACTGTCCCATCTTCATAAGTGTTTTCACTGACCCTGAATCTTTTAGACATTATTCTGCATGGTTGGAGAAGGCTGTGAAGTAACTTGCTTTCTCGGCTGTTCTCTGGCAGTAGCCATATACATGATTAAGACAGTGCTTGTCTAAGCTGATGTTCAAGACATACTTGTGTGCTCTGCTCTATTGCCATAGGAGTTGTAGAATCAGCATATCTCATATTTCTGCTGTGCAGAATTGAGATAGAGTATTCAAAGTAAGCTTTAGTCTTCAAGAGGAAATGGATTTCTAGTGATGTTTTTTTTCAGCACTACATAGGGATGAAACCCAGGTTTTAATGCAGTTCACTGTGGTGGGCAGTTTCTGTTTAAAAGAACACCTTTTTCTGGTTAGGTTTTGACTGTCCTCATTAACCTGAATCCCTCCCTTTTGTAGGCCCCAAACTCACTTGTGTTTTATCTGTAGAATTGTGAACAGTGTCAGTGTGGTGAAGGTAACAAACTGGCAGCTCAGATGAAGAAAAGCTGGGGGTGTAACGTATTGGCTGGCACCTTCATCTCACCGCTGTAAAAGTACATTCAGATTTGACCCGGAGAGGGAGCAGCTGTCTGATGTCAACATAATCCCAGTCTCTAGTCTCTGACAGTAGGGATTGACAAGTACCAAGCAGCCTAAATTACAATTTGTGATCCTGGACACCTCTCTTCTGTATCATTGATTGATGTCTTCAGCACAAGCCCTCAAAGTCACAAATGGTGAAATCTGCAACCAGCCGAAACAAAATGTGCCTGGATCTTGAGCTAACCAGCTTTCAATATTTTCATTCAAAGGAAAAAAGAGAGGAGCAGGAAAAATTCTGTCAAATACCAAGGCATGTTAATTTTAGCCTTTTTAAAAGCACAGAATAAAAATCTGCCGAGCAGAAAAAGATGATAGTGTTCTATTTCTGGTGAGAGACCAGCAGCTGCTGAGGGAGAGATATGTTAATTTATTAAATGAAAAAGTGTTTGTTACTGTTTGTGCTAGCAAACTCCAGAGTTAGGGGCAGTTGGTAGTTTATAGTCACACCACATGTGATAGTGATTTAGAGATGTGTTAAAACATCTGAGCAATGACAGGACAGAAAGTACAGACATAAGGCAGGAAAGAGGTTTCACATTTCAATCTGCAAATGTTTTCTAAGGCATAAGGAAAAAATTCTGGGTTCTGAAAATTGCATTGGTCATTTTACTTTCCGTATGCAGATTGGGCACAGTGAGCTTTTCTTTGCTAAAGATAGAGATCCATTATGGATTGAAGGAAGCTAAATACAGTTACTGAGCTATTGGGTACTGTCATGCGGTTGTACTCGGGAAGTTCTGCATGGTGCTGCTGTTCTGGCTGTTTCTTGCCTCTTCTGGGACTGGCCTTGAGGTTTTCTGCTTTGCTCTCTCCAGCATCTCCCTTCTGGAGAGCTGCTTAGCCTGAGGGTGATGCATGATCCATGAGAGCATGCAGTGCTGTGCTAGTGCTTGCTTATTGAATCCAGTACAGTGGAGAACCTGATGCAAACACTTGCAGTGCCAGTTTGCTTCTGTCAAAAGGGTATCAGTATGTTGTATCATCACCTTATCTTGCTTGAGACAGACTTCTTCAATTGCTTTGAAATCCTGCAGTGTAGCTGCTGTGCTATACATGAACAAATAATCATTATTGCTGTCATTGTTTTTTGCTGTATGTTTGCCTTCTCAGTTCAGCGAGCTTCATTCTTTGCTGCTGCTGATGAAAATCACAGACCTGTGAGCGCTGCCTCCAGTAGTGATCAGGCTGAGGACCAGCTTACTGCACAGATAAAGCCTTATACAGGGTAAGTAAGTACACCAGATAATGCAGGCTTCCTCAGATACAACTGAAGGAAAAGAGCAGGAACATCTTTATTTAGAAGCCATCTCCAGGCTTCACAGAACTCTCCACAAGTTCTCATGAAGGTGGGTGGGAGGTGAAAACAGAAGAATTGTAAGTCCAGTTGGAACCTTTTTGCAGGTTGTTTCTTGTCCATGATCTGCATGAACTTGTCCAAAGCAATGGTAATTTAGGGCACATACAAATAGAAAAGAAGTAGAGAGAAGTCAAGTGGTGGGTTGGCTCCAATTAACCATGACATAAATTCATTCTAGTGATTAACGTGCTACATGTATTTCATGTACTCTGTTAAGTTGTATTCATTTTGTGAATTCTTAGTGTACTTGAGCACGTACCTACATAAAGCCACTTGTTACACACCAGGCTGTTAGCTACCCTGTGTGAAGATAGTAAAACATATCAACACCTTTTCCTGTTTCCTGCTTACAACAGTAAAGAATCTCCCCCAACTCTCGCCTCTAAAGTGGACCAACTGGAAGGTTTGCTGAAGATGCTGCAGGAGGATTTACGAAAGGTAAACATTCCATCTGCAGGAAATCTGTAAGACACATTTAGCGCTGATAGATGATGCTAATAACTGCATAATCCTGCTTTGCCATGCCTGAGCCTGTGACAGTCTTATCCTTGTGTGAGAACAAGACATTTCTTTGCTACTTTTCCAGGCCGTTCTTTTCATTATGCAAGGCCAGGATGGAGTATCTAAATTTGTAGGCATCTGATTCCTCTGCTTAAATTAGGAAGGCGATGCAGAGTACCTTCACTCCTTATTCAGGTGGTGTTGCAAAAGGCTTGAAGTTAGTCCATGAAAATATATCTTTCTGCTGTTGCAAAGCTGACAGTATTCTCTAAATGTGTAATTTCTATTGTGGAGATTTTCTGTGTTGTGTTACTGCCTGCTTGGTCCAGAAGGGATCATCTGTGGTCACAGGAAAAGTCTTTTAGCTGGGGAAGTATTTGCAAGAATGTTTCCCATCCCTTATGTAGTTAACCTTCAGCAGTTGTACGCTCATGTTGTACATACAGAACAGGGCATGCCCGATTTTTTCACCACCTGGGGAGGCGGCTTCTGGATTAGAATTTAAGATAGAGAAATTCTGCTCATTCAAGCAAAAAATGAGGAATGAAATGTCAAAAATTACTCTTAGATATAAAACCATGTGTTCTTGCACGTAAAATCCATAGAGTGATGTTTGTACTCTCTTAAATAGATTCTTATCTCTCTAAGTGGGTGGGAAGCATGACCTAAAATTTCTACTAAGATCTGTGTTTTTCCTCATGCCTAAGGAAAAGGAGGACAAGGCCAGTCTTCAGGCGGAAGTGCAACATTTGCGGGAAGACAACTTGAGGTTACAGGAGGAATCCCAGAATGCAACTGAGAAACTGAAGAAATTCACCGAATGGGTTTTCAACACGATTGATATGAACTGAGAACAGTATACGGGGAAGGAAATGATCTGTTTTATTATTCCTGGGACTTAAGCTTTAATGTCACCTTAATCATGACGTGAAAGTATAGTCAGAGCACTTCCCTGTCCTTCATCCTCCAATGACCCTTTTTTGCATCTCTGCGTGCACTCAGAACAATTGCAGATCAACAATCAATGTCTGCCTTTTGTAGAAAAAACAAAGTAAATAATTTTAAAAAGGTAAAATAAAAGTTTAACTGCTAAAATGTGAATGTCTATTTTTTGCACATTGTCTCTTTACCTGTTATGTACAAAATGATTTGGAGGTGGGATCAGGCTTGCTGTTCCATCTGCCTCTGTTTCCATTAACTCCTTTCTCTCTGTTTCAGGTAATCTGCTTTTCCTTGCAGCTTTGGCAAATATTATGACATCTAGAAAATTAGAAGGAAATGTTTATTTTACTGCTCTACTTACATTGTTTTCTGAAGTATGCCACAGACAAGGGGATGTAATGGAATGTTTTAGGTGTCTCCTTTGCGATTTGCGCTTGATTGCTAGTGCTACCTTCCCATACTTTACAGAGAACATGTGTCCATAGTGTATGGTACAGTACAACCAGCATCGTAACCTTTAGAGAGAGACTAGAGATGTGAGCCATGGGCAAGGCATATTATCACACATCTATTGCATTAGCATTTTTGGTTGCCTTTGTTTCCTGTGGAAACAATGGCTGCAAGTACCTTTACAAACAGCAAAAGTAGCCATGCTGCAGTTCATAGCATGTCAGGCAGGCTGAGAGATAACCAAGTACTGTTGCTGTACTGCTTAAGTATAGTCCCCTTCCCTTCCAGGGGAATCTGTTGCTTGCATATCTGCAGAAGACTTAGGCTGGAGTTGTAAAGAGATTAAGATTTCTTTCCCCTGAACTGATTCTATGAAAATCCAAATTAAGCATCTCTGAGCACCTGCCCTCCCATTCCATTTCTCTGGACTTCTCAAATCACAACAGATTTGAGAAATGTTTATTAGGTCTTAAAACTCCTTTACTATGAAAGACAGAGGAATATGCAAGGGTGAACTAGAGAAGTGCATTTTTCAAAGCGCTGTGTTAGGATCGGAGCTCTGAAATCCCCAGTCCCCAGTGAAACCGTCTAGCAAGAGATTTCCCAAACTGCCTCATGCCAGGAAAGTTAATTTCTTGTTCTGTGAAGGAACAGCTAACTTGCCACAACATGTTACCTCTCCAGAAAATAGCTTTCAGGTGTCAGAATACAACTTCTGAGCGCTGCAGTCTGCACAGGCATTAAACTGTGCAGCATGCTCAGAAACCTTTTCTACTCCCTTCTGAGAATACCTTAATAAATACTCCCTTGCGTAAAGTGCAGTGTTATTTGGGGGTTAATGTCAAGAGCATCCACTCCCCCCCTCTTTACCACATTCTCAAATAGACAGATTAAAATCATCCGGCATAGTCTTGTCAGAAAAACTCCCATGCTCTTTTCAAATCCCTTTTCATGCTCTTAATCTTGCTCCACACAAGTACACACTACACTTCAACCTCAAACTTAATTTGTGATGCTAATCCCCATGGAGTTCTTCTCTAACGTTTTGTCATTGAAATGGATCTCTTTGGAACTGTTTCTGGAGTGCTTTTGTAAAGGTTTAGAATGTTGTGGGGTTTTTAATGACTTGTATGAAGGAGATTTATATAATGCCTGATATTATTTGTAAATGGGAAATATTGCTAACATCTCTGAGCATCCTGAAGTCTTGCTTTTATTCTCTTTTATTTTTAAGTTTGTTTTTTATTTTATTTCAAAAAATATTTTGGGACTTGGGGCAGACTATTTATTAGAGTTTTGCAACAGAGTTCTTGTATGATGCCACTGAAGGCTACTTGTAAAATTCTGACAATAAAACTCATTTTAAAGGCTCTTCTAAACCATTTTCTTCTGATTTTGTTTTTTTAAGACTTTTTAGAGGGTCCATTAGTTCCTGCTTTCTTGTTGTACCACTTTTCTCAGTGCTTAGCGATAGAAATGTTTCCGTTCTCTGCCATAGAATCGTATATTACTTGGTGTGTATACATGCATGTCATCTCGACTTTTCATTTGGATTTCTGCACAAATGTATTTTTCCATCTACCAGGGTTTGTTCCTTTAACAGTGACTCTGATCTTCACCAGGCTGATACGGTAAACGAAGTCACTGGATTTTTTTATCATGTACCGGCGTTTTAAAACTTAATTCAAAAAAATGAAGCCAATTTAAGTGAAAATCAAACTTGCCTGACATGTCTGCCCAAGGGCATGCACAGCTTTCAGCATCCCAGAACCAAACTTGTGAGCTTGCAATGTTAGGTGTTAGTTTTGGGGGGTGGGACAGATACTCCATTTGTTTTGTTTTTCAGATCTCCTCCTTTGACTTGGGAGATAACCTTGGACATGATTTGGACAGGTCTTCTTTTGGCCCAGTGGATCAGCATTATGGACAGCTCAGAAATGTGGAACTAGGTGGGTCTTCAGGAAAGCATCTTTCAGGTTCACTGAACGGATCCTTAAAAGGCATGTGGCGAAAGAAAATCCATCTCTTTATAGCAGTGAAGTTATCAAGCCAAGAGAGTTCTGAAGCAGCAAGAGCAAGTGGTAGTACCTGGTTGAAAAATGGGAGTTGAATCTCAGAAAACTAGATGCTGTCTTACCATTTGTAGTTGGATACTGGTAATGGAGTTGAAGCAGTTTCCTGCAGGTCAAGGAGTTGCCCTGTCCACATTCATAATAAATTTATGCCAGGGGTTCCCACACGCCGCCACACACAGCGATAGGTCAGCCTAGACCAGGGCAGGATCTAACTGGCAAGCGTCTTCTACAGCCTTGAGTCATCATTAGCCTCAGCCGAAAGCGGGTGGCTGTGGGAGGAGTGCGGGTGACAGGGGCTGCCTTCCCGTTTCACCTCTTTCTCCCAAGAAAGTGATGTTTTATATTCCTGACAAGTTTTGTGTTCTTTGTCTGTGTTCCAGTGTGAAGATGCTGCTCTCCTGTGGCAGTGTTTGGGTAGCCAGCTGTGGTTTCTCTCCAGATTCCCAAATTGGGGGTGGGAGGAAGGTGTCACCATGGAGGGGCTGCTGCCAAGCATGCATGATGGATAATGCTATCAGAAATGAAGCGTGGTGTAGGTAACTGGTCAGAGGGTATTGGGCTCCCGTAAGAGACAAGCTGTGAGGCACACAGGAGCTGGGATTGTGAGAGGAGAGTTTGGTGGGAAAGGGCCTGGAGAGCTAGTTAACAGGGTTAGGAGAAAGATGATGAGGGGATGAAATGGAACACATCCAGGCTTTACTCCTCGAAAAGCATGGTTGCTGTATGGTAGCCTTTTGTTTCTGTGGAAGCTGTGTTGCAGCCCTGTGAATGGGTATTGTGAGGAAGCCTTTTCTCCAGCTTTTCCTGTGGTGGGAAAGGTCCCCACAAACCAGGGAGGGTTTGTGTCTGTTTTTAAAACCTTTACATAATCCCTTCTTTTAGGTTCGCAGTTAACAAATTCTCTTTTAAAGCAGTTGACTGTCTCCTATCAGACACTTCTGAATGGTGTTAGTCCTGTATGTGAGCAACTTGCTTTGCTGCAAGACAGGAGGGCAACAGAGGCGGTTGCTGTTTACCAGCAATCCAAAATTTGATTCCCTGGAGGAGAGATGACACTGTCCCTCTTTGATCGCTGCAGGTGGAGCAGAGACGTGGGCTTTACTGAGGCAGTTACTAATGGAGAGGAGCTGGGCAATGAGATGATGAGGCTGGTACAGATGCCATTACCTTTTCCTGATGTTAACTGTGGTGAGGAAGTCCTTGCTGTGCTGTTTGAGGCAATGCTGGGAGGAAAACAGCTCACAGAAATACTGACTTCAGCGCTCCGCAGTAAGAGCCCCTTCTCCTCAGGGTGTTAGCTTTGGCTGGGCATGAGGGGAGTGAGGCTGAAGAGTTCATGTGAGTCAGACTTGCTGGAGGCCAAGGTCTGTGTTTGAAGGCCCGTTTCCCCAAGGCAGTGGCACTGATGATCTTGGTATGCAAGGTCACAGCAGGCAAGTCCCCCCCTCTCTCTGGGTTCTCCTGTGCCTGCATGGACCTGCCTCCTGCCAGAAGGTGATTTCAAACAGCTTGTGTTTCTCCAAGATGTTTGGTGTCTGAATGATTTAAAGCAGGCTGGGCTGTTTGTGACATGGCAGAGTGTGGCCAACTCAAGTGAGAGCTGCTATGGGGGAGTAAAATCAGGGTGCTGCAGCAATCTGCATGGCCTCCCACCAAAAAATCTCTGGGGTTTTTTATAGAGGTTTCTCATTCCTGTACTTGGTACCAGTTATGCTTTAACCAAGGCCTGGGTTGAGCCCCCAGGTTCTGTTTCACTCTGCACTGCCTGCAAGAAGGACACATGCTGCCAGGCAGGGAGGCAGTGCTGCTGGGCAGATGGTGCTCTCAGCAGCTGAAGGAGGCCCATCAGTGCTTGGCACACAAAGAAGTTGGAGAATGAAACTAGGACATGCTCAAGGACAACGACTGGATGTGGTTTCCTCACCTCGTGTTGTGATCGTGGTGGATGCTGCCAACTAGTAACTAAATAGAGGTTTGATGCCATCCAGGGGCATCCTGGTGCTGTTTTAAACTGCATTCCTGTTCTTTCCTCTTGCTCTCTCCTGCCTGCTCTTGCACTTGCCTTCCAGCAGTTTGTTTTGCCTGGTGACTGCAGTTGTGCAGCAGGTGTGACTGCAGCACTGGGGCTGCAGCAATGCTGTGGCTGCCTGTGGCTGAGCTGAAAGGCACACTGAGTCAAGCAATTTGAGCATTTGGTTGAACAAAAGAGCTTGACTGCTCACTGTATTTTTGCATCTCACCTTAAATCAAGTTTGCTGGAGTTGGGAGGCTCCTATGCATATGGAAGGTACAAGCTGTGCCATGCCCAAAGATTCACGTGCCAGTGGTAACACCTGGCATGTGTCTGCCCACATGCAGCAGAAACAATTGGTACGTGCTTGCTTGGCATTTCACCACTCGGTTATCAGCTCAGTCCAGCTCTGCTGTGCCAGCTGCTGCTGCAGGCATACCGTGGGTGGCAGTTTGGTGAGATTTCAGTCTTGTTTCCTCCGTATACCCATCACTTTTGATCGTAATAGTGGGATAATGTAAATAAATATGCATCTATTTGCTTTTAACATTATTTGCAACACTTTTTAATAGGTTAGTTTTTTTCAATCTGTGCACAGGCACTTGATAAAATGCCAT